GTTTTTCCCCAAGCCACGCCCAGCCACCCCACTCCTGACCACATGTATGTGATGTCAGGGTTGCGGCATGACCTCATGTGGGGCAGTTAAGGACACAGCCACAAAGGAACAATCACTGGCTCTATGCCCAGTTTCTCCTGTTAACAGATTGAAAGGATCAGAAGTTTGTTTGTCTGGGATCTTGACATGTGTCAGGCTAGATGGATAACTAGAAGGGTAGCCACTTCAGTCCAGGACCACGTGAACTCTGCGCATAAGAAGAGAGAGAGAGAATATGTCACCGGGGATGGAGAAAATGTGGCCCTCTCCTATCAGACCCATCTCCTGGGTCTGGACCATCTTCTATCAGACCCAGCCAGCATGGCCAATGGTCAGGCATGATGGGAGCTGGAGTCCAGCAAGAGCCACAGCTTTCTCCATTCCTGTTCAACAAGCCTTCAGAAGATGTCACCAGACATTCCTTTCCTGGAACAGCTTTTCTGAATTTATTAGAACTGGCGACTGTAGCACTGTACAGCATGTGACTGCTTTTTGACTGTGGTTTTAATTACAGGTTGCTGTTGTTGTGCCTTTTTACTGCAGCATTCGAATGCTATGGGCTGTCTCCATTCTTTGAAGGACTTCTGAGTGGGGGGTGGGAATTGGCATCCAAACTCCTTCAAATAGATGATTGCCGTTAAAGCAAACAGAGCAGTATTGACTACTGATGATAGCCTTACAATGCAAGTTGAATCAGAAATGCAGGGCATAGTAGTGGCAGCCTCAGACAATATGCCATGCCTATGTAACGCTGCCTTATTTCCAAAATATCAACAGGATACTTTGAAAGATGTCAGCAGAAGAGCATGTCCTATGTTAGTATGTTTTGACCACTCCAGAAAGATACAGGGGCATTCCAGTTATTCACTTAAGCACCCTTCCTTATTTCCCTGCCTTAAATCGTATTGAATGCCTGTCACCTTTAGTTATGCATTCCATGTTTGCCTTAACAACACTTCAATATATATAGTTACAGTTTTCCACTAGGAAGCAATTTTCAGTTCTTGCTTTAATTAACAGATTAGTCACCAATTATTTATTTTCTTGTCTTATCAACATTTCTATTGTAGCCCAACAGAATATTCAAAGGTACTTTTAAACAAATATGTGTGGTCAGTGGGAGGTGGGGGGGATGTGGTAGAAAATAACAGCGCTTACTAGAAATGGGAGAGAAATTAGATTCAGACTGTGTGCACATTGCTGGCTTAAAACGCAGCTACCTGTACATCATTATTTTTCTCAATTCAGATCAATGCCGGTTTGCAGGAAAATGCCTCAAAACACAGGACAAGAAACAGCAGCATAGATACAAGGCAAGTATGGGTTGCGGCTAATGACCCCATGTTCTGTGAACTGTGAATCGCTTCCCAAACCAGCAGTGGGAGCACATTGGGTGCAGATTAAATGTGAGTGTGTACAGAGCTTCAGTTCACAGTTAAAGGTGACCCCACCTAATTGGCCCTTTCTGAAACAATATTCACAGCAGAACACAGCCATCCTTTAAAGTCTGCCCTTCTTTGAATTTTGCTATGCAGTTCTCCAGTCAAGCGAAGTTTGCACAAACATGCATCTCCTAGTAAAAATAGCGTGCAAAATGCATTCACTTAGGTGAAATTGCTTTGCAAAAAAAGTGCATATTAGACAAAATTGCATGCAAGCTTGTATATTAGGAGAAATTCATATTGAAATGCTGATGGATTTCCATGAGAACTTAAAAATAAATAAATCACAAACCAATGGGGAAACATGGAAAACTGAATTTAAGTGAAACTGAGAAAAACCAAACCTGTCAGATTCACCCATGCCTAGTTGGGAAAACGAAGTTCTTTTATCCAAGGGTAAGTGGTGGAGACAGTAAATAGTAATACTCCAAAGAAAAACAAACAAAAATACTCTGAGAGGTAGCATGCTCAGAAGCATAAGTGGAAAGAGCCCTGTTGAACTCAGGTTCCTATGGGGGCATCTGTTTGCCCACTGAGAACAGGATACTACACTAGATGGACCTGATTCAACTGCAGGGCTACACTTCTGCTCTTACTGGTAAATACAGGGGAAAGCTTTTGCTGAGTATACATAATACTCTGTGTGTTGCCCTTTTGGAGTGAGCATTAAATGGGAACGTGAGGCTCTTATTTTCTCGACTCCTTCCTTACTCAACTAGGAAGGTCACAGGGTAGCCTTGGGCAAGTATCAATCCCTCTTGATTGAGCGGTGGCCAAGCTTTCTGGCAAGCGTACTGTGAGTCAGGTCCAAAGTATGAAAGAGTGTCACTCCTCTTCAGTTTCAATCATTTCTGGGTTTTGTAATTATTAACACTTACAAAGCGCCAGAAAAATTGAGAGCTACAGATATATTAAGAGATAAGGTGTGCCCTGTATAAATTGCTCACTATTTAATAGGCATGGGCCATGGGATCCTCCTGGGCAGGGGCTCCAACTCATGGGGGCCAAGCCCTTTCCCCCTCCAATATTTTTGGGAGGGGTGGCCTCCCCAATGTCAGCGGAGGAAGCTGAGCGCTGCCTTGCTTGAGTGGCTGGGCCCCCCTCCTTCTGCAAGGAGGAGAAGGAGCATCAAAGCAGTCCCCCAGAGGTGGTGGCGACAGGAAGAGGAGGAGCTACTAGCCATTGAAGCAGTGCTGCCTCCAGGTTTGGCTCCCCCCACCCCAGTTCCTCCCAATGTCCTGGTATCATGCACGTATGTCAGTGGCTGGGCAGAGGAGGAGGAATGCTGGAGACCATCTCCCCATCCTGACCCTTCCAGGGAGGAGGAAGGGGAAGACAGTATAGATTTACAACAGTGGTTTGCGGAAGGTCACAGCTCAGAGGCAAATGAGGGGGAAAGTGGGGAAATAATGGGAGAGGAGGAGCAGGCAGAGCTGGAACAGCTGCTGGCTGACACGTTGTCACTAGAAAGCATTTGAGACCCACCATCTCCCAGAACACGGCAAGCCTTAAAAGTAGGAGAGCAAAAGGCTCAAAGACAGAGGACACATAGCAGCACCCACAGAGGTGGTAATGATGATGACGAATGAGGAAGTGGGAGAGAAGGGGATGGAGATTCACTCAGGACAATGCCATTATCCAAGAGGCTGGGTTCTATAGCCTCTCTGTGTGAAGTTTGAAATAAAAAAGGACTGTAAGAAACTTTTCCTTGTCTTTATACTATCCTTGGCAGCCAGCCAGGAGCCGCTGTCAGCATCTTGACAGTGTGTGATGCCATGCGAGATGTCAGTGCCCCAATCACCCTCGCAAGCTGGCACTAGATACCCAGTGGTATCTCCATGATACAGCTAGACCTCTTTTAAGGTTGCAGGAGCACCATTTTGGCTCCACTTCAGGGAGCCAAATGCCCTGGGGCAGCAAACCCTGTGTGTTTGGAGACACCCTCCCAAAGCCATTCCCTGCCTGAAGACAAGGGTCAAGATTCATGACAAGAGCACCCTCTCTGAAATTCTAGCCACCCAGGTAGCCCAACACAGGGAGAGAGGGTGAAGGATGAATGGCAAACCATCTGCAGACTGAAGGCATTACTGAAACAATTAAGAGCATCTTCTCTTGCCTTGTCTTCAGCCTCCATCCTTTTGCCTGCCGCCAGTTCTCTGCCATCCTTATCTCCCTGGAAAATTAAGTGTCTAATCAATACCTTTGGTGTGTTTTTCTTTTTGCAGAATTATGAAGAGTCAGAAATGTCCATGCAATCAGGCCATTAAGTATGGTTATTTGTGCAATGGATTTAAGGTCGCTACATGCATCAACTTAACAAAAAGGAGAGTGGGTGGAGGGAAGGGAACTTAACTAGTATTTGTGCATCTTACAAAGTAAGAATTATTCATCAAATGCTATTGCATCCCTTTCCTTCACCAGCAGATTGCTGGAGGTGAAAAGACAGATTGATCCACAATAACAGTTTCACATGTTTGATCACATTATAAATGTTACATATCGGCTTGTGTCGGGGAATTATGTGTGATATTGCCATCCTCTCTGCTGTCTGCTGTCTGTGACTGACCTGCTTATGAGTACGAGCTCCATGGCAGTAATGCTGATGGTGAAATCCCACCATTATGTTCTACTTCCACTGTTGGAGGGCAATATGCCTCTGAATGCCACTTGCTGGGGAACACAAGAGAAGAGAGTGCTGTTATGCTCAGTCCGGCTTTCAGACTTCCCAAAGGCAACTGATCTGCTTTTCTTCCATTTAAAAAAGTGAAGTCCCTGCCCATAACACCATTTGGTGTATGTGTTTGAGGAAAGTGGCTGGGAGTCATTGAAGATAAAAGGGGGAAAATATTTACTTTCATTATTATCATTTTGTGTGCGGGTATGGGTGTGTGGGTGTCTGCACATATGTGTGTTGTTGTATGCAATGTTTGGGAGGAAATAAGACGGTAAATAATAAATAACAAACTAAATATTGATGTATGTAATTTTTATTTCTTAGTTATATTTAGTGGTAGTATGGCTGTGTTGTTTTTTGTAACATAAAATCATTCAATAAAAAATATTTTAAAAAAAGAAAAAGAAAAGAAAACCATATTCAAATACAGACATGCCGAAGTGAGGGTCTTCCAATGCTGGACCCGCACCCTGGTATTGGTAACCTGGAGATCGAGTTTGTGTTCAAGCCCAATGTAGAATTCCTTGAAGTACAGTGGGCAGGTGCTCCTCTATTCCATTGAGCTGTGAAAATCGGATAACAGGAACTGAAAAAAACTTAAGAAAATGGACCCATCTTGTCCAGCATCCTGTTTTCGTAGCGGCCAACAGAAACTGGCCAATCCAGAGGGATCACGTCACTTGCCAGTCACAAGGGGTGGTCTTGCACTCCCCTTACTTTCTGTTCTGTTGATAGGCATGTAGGAAGCTGCCTTACAAATCAATGGTCCACCTAGCTTAGTATTGTCTACACTGAACTGCAGTGGCTACCTGGGGTTTCAACAGAGGACATTCCCAGCCCCAAACTGGAGAAGCCAAGGATTGAACCTGGAACCTTCTGAATGCAGACCAGATGCTCTGCCACTAAGATATGGCCCTTTCCCACATGCCATGGTAGATGATCAGGTTGTGTGCGTGCATATGTAAATTGGGGCTGACCAATCCTGGAGCTTCATATTGTCGGCCAATTGCAGGATCTGATATTGCACTGCCTTGTTCCCTTCAGCTCCCAAAGAGGGTGCTGAGAGCTTCTCTTACACAAGATCCCTTGTGGTTTATGAGGCTGGATGCCAACGTCAGACACTGCAGTTCCTAGCTATACAGATGATTATGCTATTCGTTATTTTCTACTGCTACATTCTGGGCATAGCATCTGTCTTACATGGTAAATAAATCTCATCTCCCAAGCTGATACAAAAGTCAATTTCTTGCTCACCTCTGCAAAGACGGTTCTTTCTTCTTCTTCTTCTTCACACACACACACACACACACACACACACACACAATGAGATACTGCAATGCAAAAGCTTTTCTACAAAAAACAAACAAACCACCCACTACCACTCAGGGTTGCAATAACAAATGCTGCTTTATATTTTAACTCTGCAATGAAGCCTTCTATTTAGTAGTTTTTAATAGGGTTTGACCTAGTACTGTCAAAAGGGAAACTACATTTTGTGCTTGTTGCACACTTAAGTCCTTGATTTCTGCAGATAAATAATATGTAATGTAGTTCCTATTACTCACACAGTGTTTCACACGTCTGTTTTATGTTTCATTAATGGCTCAGCAAATGAAACCATCAACCATGTTGTCGTCTGTGTGTGTGTGTATTCATTCAACGTGAGGAGCAAACGCAGGCCAGCTGAAGGCAGCCTCGCCGATTATGGTCTTGGAGAGGCTTTGCGACGCAGTTCAAGAAGAAGCGCCAAAGTTGCAAATCATGTTCACTGCAAATGGTAATTCAATACACTACTTAAATTAAGAGCAAATAATGCTTTTTAATCTACAGAAGGGTAGTTCAGAACGCATTAAGCTGAAGATGAATCCTCCTTTTTGGAAGTCAAGAGAGGAAGCCAAGAGGAACAGCAAAAATGGGGTGAAGGGTAGATGCCACGCCAGGAGGTCCATCTTCATTCGTGAAATCTTCAAATCATAGAATTGTAGAGTTGAACAGGACCCTAACGGTCATCTAGTCCCCATGATGCATGAACCACAGCTAAAGAATTCCTGACAGAAGGCCAGCTAACCACAACTTTAAAACCTTCAGCCTACCACCTTCTGAGGTAGTCCGTTTCACTGTAGAACAGGTTATACTGTCAGAAAGTTCTTAGCTCAGCTGGTCAAGGATGAGACCCTTAATCTCAGGGTCATGGGTCCGAGTCGCACGTTGGGCAAAAAGATTCCTACATTGCACTAGATGACCCTTGTGGTCCCTTCCAACTCTACAATTCTATGATTCTAAGTTTACATGCTTACTCGGAATCTCCTTTCTTGCGATTTCAATCCATTGGTTTGGGTCCTACCATCTGGAGCAGCAGAAAACAAGCTTGCAGCCCTTCAGATATTTGAAGAAGCTCTCAGCCTTCTCCAGGCTAAACATACACAACCCCCTTCCTCATAAAGCTTGATTTCCAGACCAAGAATGTCAGGTCCTAGGAGGCCCCTTAATTATCTCCCACCTCCACAGCCGCCCTCTTAATTACCCTTCAAAGGACCAAACTGAGGATTCGTTCCATTAATTTTCTCCCTCAAAAACTAGCCTTCCCTTAATGTATTATTATGAGTTTGGGGAGGTCAAGAGTTTGGGGGTGTTGGCAGGGGATCATAACCGTGGATGCCATAGTAGCCGCAGCGTAGCATCCTTTGTGGATGGGCAAAACATTATTGAGGCTTGTCAGGACCACTGCACCTTTAACTGAAAGCTTCCTGTTTGTAGGTTCAGTCTATTCTAAGACTTCCTGCTCAGTGTTGTGGTGGGATTAGTGGTTAACTGCCCATTTATTTATTTATTTCACACATCCTCAGCACACAGTTGCTCACTGAGCAACTCACAAATAAAAACAAAAGCACTACAGTCAAACATAAAAAACACATAAAACAGAATAAAACGGTAGCCGCGAGCAAAGCCAGATAAAACAATATCCATCTCAATGTATAAAAGCATATTTAACCAGCTTTTGTTCCCTGCGGAGGTGTGTATGTGTGTGCATGCATTAAATTATTGGTTTCTTTCAGTTTCCCTCTTTTCTTTCTTTTTTTTTAATCACAACAGAAAAATAGTGAAAAGAAAACAAATCAAAGCACGCATGCACACACATCTGTAACAAAAGCTGACTAAATACGGGGCAGTAATCATTAATCCTGCAGCCATGCTGAGCAAGGAACAATAAAATGGACAGAACCAACAAACAGGAAATTAAAATTGGAAAGGGAATTTGCTGAATAGAAGTTGATTGTGAGTAGATGTTACAGAAGGATCTTGACTATGGAGGCGGTGGAAGGATAATATAGCACTATATCAGAGGCCTGCTCCGCATGGCTTTTAGCACGGCTTCAGCAAGTGCCCACTCTCTGCACTTTCCCAAAACAATTAAAGATGTTTCTGTTCTGACAAGCTCTCCCACCTGGAGGAATAGGTCACTGCCAAGGATGTCTAATTTGTATAGCTTTTAAATTTATCGCATGTTGTTCTTTGTATTGTTTAGATGCTTTTACAGTGGTACCTCAGGTTACATACACTTCAGGTTACATATGCTTCAGGTTACAGACGCCACTAACCCAGAAACAGTACCTCGGGTTAAGAACTTTGCTTCAGGATGAGAACAGAAATCGTTTTCCAGCGGCGCAGCGGCAGCAGCAGGAGGCCCCATTAGCTAAAGTGGTGCTTCAGGTTAAGAACAGTTTCAGGTTTAGAACAGACCTCCGGTACAAATTAAGTACTTAACCCGAGGTACCACTGTATTGAAATTTGTTTGTTGCCTTGAGGTGTGTGTGTGTGTGTGTGTGTGTGTGTGTGTAAGCAATGACCACTCACTTTTGCGACCTTACACAGGCTTCCCAGCCGCCATAGCTGCCTGGCCATTGCTCCATCCCTTGGGCAAGCTGCTGAGGCTGCAGGCCTCCCACCTGGCCCTGGTTTAAATCAGCCAATCGGCAGTGGCCTGGGGGTGGAGCAAAGGCCAGGTAACAAGGCTCCTGCCTATGTTGGCTATTCAGTCAGCTCAGAGCATCACCCACCCAACCCTCCCTCTAATTGTTAATGTTGTTGCCGGCTAACCATTTCCTTTCAGGTTCGCGGGCATTGCTACAGTCGCATGATGGTTGCTGTTTTCCAGAGCCGGGAAGAAATTGCCCTGCTCTGCAGGTTTTGCCTTCCCCATAGCAATTGCCACAACTTTGGGGGTTTTAGGCCTTGGGCGGAATCCTTTAGTCCTTCAACAGAATGGAAGGGGTAGCGTGCTAACGCACCCTTATGTGGCGGTGTTAGCAGAACCCTGTTAGAGGGGTTTGTGAAGGGAGTCACTGACCTTGAGCGCTCGGGGTATGGTCAGATTCCCAGAGCAAGAATAAGGGGTGCCAGCTGCATAAACACAGGTTTTCCAGTGTCCCCCATATTCCTGTATGACCCTGCTTATCCTCAGACCCCAATTGGGGTCTGAGGGGATACACACCCAATGACTAAGCCAAGGTTTTCCTACATCTGAAATTAATAAAGTTGTCGCCTATTTAATCCCATACATATGCCGTGTTGTGTCTTAGTTATCTAGGCCTGGCTCCCAGGGAGGAGGGTCTGCGCCTGGGCACGTAATAATAATAGTAACGATAATATTCTTTGTGGAGTGTCTCTGGTATTTAATTTTTAATTTAGTAACAACAACAACCAGACTCCTAAACTGCCTAAGATTTTGTAAGCAGTGTACATTTCTTAAAAGCTACAGCAGTCCCTCTCCACCCACCCCAGGTCCCAATCAATCAAACATGATATAAAAGGAAAGGGAAAGTGGAAGGGAGATAAAAGCAAGATGCGACCAGGTTGGTCTGCTCCTTCCCATGATAATTTTAATTCCACGTCCGGCTAATTGCAGAACACTAATAACTCAGCAGCGCTAAAAGGCTTTAATGTGGAGGCAATCTATCCTAGAGTAGGGAAAGGCACCTGAGACGCATTCTTGCCTCTGACCTTTGAAACTTTCAAACCCCCAATGAGGCTGTATATGTATTTAAAGTCAATGCTTTCAAAAATTCAGTGGTGGTAAACTAAGATACACTGTCAGACCTGCATGGAAATGGTTGGCTCATTTTCCTTCTCATTGTCCAGTTCACAAACCCACCTTGGCTTCTGCCGCAGTCTATTCATTATTCTCTTAGCAAGGGGTGAGGGAGAATTTCCATTCACTTCACAATTTAATGCAAAATGTTTAGTCCCTGAAAGAATATGAGAACTGAAATGCAGCTGTTCTTTGACATCCACATGTCTCTGAATTTTGCAGTGAAGCTCTCTGACCAAATCATATGTACCAAAATCAGAATCCATATATATTTGGGGGGAGGGGGATATGCATATAAATGTACATATTAATGAATATATGACAAAATATATATATGACAAAATTGCTTTAAAATTTCCATATTGAGAGAAAAGTGCTGCTGAATTTTCCTGAGGACTTTTTAAAACTAGTTTGCTAGTTCTTTAAAATGGGGGTAAAGTGAACTGAAGACAGGAAAAATGTGAAGTGGAGGAAAAACCAAAATGTACCAATTCCCCCTCCCCACAGCACTTTCTTTCTTTCTTTCTTTCTTTCTTTCTTTCTTTCTTTCTTTCTTCTTTACAATATACTAACACACAAAGCTACCTTTTCTGGAATTTGTTCACTTAACACAACACAGATGTGTCTATTTATCTTTCCTGCTCTCAACTCTTTGGAGGTTGTGCATCTCTGAGGGCTCTGAGGGAGTGTGAAATCCATCTTGTGTGTTCCTCCAGTGTCAATAAGAAGTTCCTTGGATTCCCCAGGGTCTCGGGAGGCATCCATGGGGCATTGCAAACAGAAGGGAGGGAGAATTAGCCGTTGGACGGAGATGGAAGCAGACTCTCACCTT